ACGATACAAGTGAACACTCAGCAGAAACAGATACTTATTAGAATTATGACTTTTATTCACTAGAGCAACATTGAGGAAAGAATTTTTACATACAGGTTTTTTAAAATCAACTTTACAAGCAAATTCCAATATACAATATTTACTCTGGCCTGGATTAAAAAACAAAAACAACAAAGCAGATAGTAAGGGTACCTCTTTGTTTTAGCTAGTATTGAATTTAAGATTTCACTGATACTGGAATTATATTGTTTTTATTGTGGTGCTTTTACAATTAAGTAGGCAGTGAGCAGCTTTACCACAACAGTGACCGAATTTCCTTGATAGCACAGTTGTAAGATGACTGAACAGAGAACTACCACCAGGATCACGTATGAAATCCACTCTGCTCACGAAAAGCCACTATAATGAGATAAGGAATAGCTATGGAAGCCAAATTTAAGAACGGATTTCCATTTGTATGGCAAGAAAATGTCCCTATTAAGAGGATTATGTGCTGTGCAAAACCAGAAATACTTCCCCTCAACATGCAACCTATCCAAATATGACTTTAGAACGTGCATATGGTTGTGACATGCAAGCAAAGTAAATCACGCAAATGGCATTTAGTTTTCTAGCATCGTTACAACAAATCAGCATTTAGATCAAGGATGAAATGAATTTTAGTGACCTATGATGCAGTCTAGTTGCTTTGTCTAGTCTCGCTGCCAAAAGATGTAAAGTTGAGGAACCCACTATTTTTTGAACTATATGAAAGATTCAGTGCCGTTTTGGATTTTTCAGGGCCTCTGTGATTATTTTGAGAAAGTCTAAAAGATAATATTGCACTTCTTTTCTCAAACAAAAACATATGCTGGGAACATTATTCTTCAGGGGCCATGCTAGTCCTAGAGAAGTTCTGCCATCGGCCTTGATTGACAGTAGAAAGTACTAGCTCTAGCTGAAGGGGAAGGTAATAATCTGGCTACATCATAACTGTTAAAATTCCATGGTTAAATTAAAAGTCATTGCACAAGAAAAACTCAGTACACTACATGAATATTTTTATACATGCTAGAGTGCATATCGATTCTGTGAAAGTGATGTGAAGATACCTTGGAAACAGCAACACTAGCAGGGAAATTAGTTTCAAACAAAAGCCACACACAGCAGGAGGCATCTAGATTATTTTAGGCACAAATCCAAGCAATAAAGCTCATTTAAAGTGCAATTCCGTTTTTTTCTTTTGTGTTTATTCACTTGTTAAAATGCGTAATTGCCTCTGTACACACATACTGAACAGTAGTTGAATACTTTTGTGAATATTGCACAAAAGAATGAGAAATCAAAACCAAAAAAAAAAAATACGGCAATAAACCAGTTTTAGAAACCTAAAAAAAAACCTGAAGATATCAAATCCTTTAATTTACACATTTAGGATAATCTGCACCAGAACTGATGATATATCTGCACCTTCCATAAGGTAGATACGTTACCTGAAAATACATACTTAATCCCATTTGACAAGCTCTACACAACACCCTCTTACCTGTCTCTCCCCCAACCCCCGTCCTTCACTCAAGTGAAGCTTCAAACTTCACTACTTCTCTTCCAGTTGCCCATCTACTGACAGGCTTTGCTCGTACTCTGGACTTACTATACATGCAACAGAGCCTTCCCTGGTAAAGCCTGAATAGCCAAAATATGTAGTTGTCTTTAGAGGGACGCGAAGTTAGCAGCTGAATGCAAATACAATTCAGGCTAGCGTCTGTCTCATCCATGATCAAATCCTTCTGTCTCCAGCTCAATGTCTCACTAATCTGTCAGAGCAAAATGGGGAAATGCTATAACAACGAATATAATCTATTTATGTTCCTTTTACACAGAAAAAAAGAAACAAACCACAGAATAAATCTATTTTTTGTTCTTCTAGAAAAAAAAAAATTAAGAACTGTCTTTTTTCTGAAAACCCTGATCATCTTTTTGCTTTAATTCCTCAATTTTCAGTAAAGGTGCAGACAGACAGATAACTATACATTTAAATATAAACATAAAAATTTTAACATCACTAAGTCAGGCTGGTGATACCTCCAGAATAAGAAGCAAAAGAACTCATGGTGAAATCTCTCTGTCAATACCATTAAGTGAAAATCATCTTTTTACACAAAATCACATATAACTAAAAATAAAATCCGCTTCTCTTCAAGGAAACTAAACTTAAAAAACCACCTTCTATAGAAATCTACATGGACCAGAAAATGAACCAGGAATCTGATCATTCCCTCAGCAGTTTTTAAACTCCTGAGGAAACACAGTTAGCTGCCAGGAGCTAGTTTTGGGGAATATGAAAAGTCAATTTTATTTTTGTATTAAAAGTAAATGCTTGCACTGAAGGCCATCTCATTCAATGCTTTCAAGAAAAGAAAGACTTTTTTCCTGCAGAATAATTGTTACACCAATCTTGTAGTTATTTTGATCCTGTATCAACTGTAGCAATGTTACCCTTTTACATTGTCTCCATCCCAGATGACATAAGTCCTGCAGGTTTCCTTTCAGACTGATATAAGCAGAACCTCCTCCCTACCCATTTTCCCCCCAAGCTTTAGTTTTCCCACTTCATTGTCAGTTAAAAGAATTTGGTGTGACAAATCCAAAAAACTTCCTTGTATGTTAATTATGTACTGAGAAAATCAGGTGAGATGATCATGTTTTTTTCCTCCTCCCATCCAAGTAAGTTATCCATCAAGATACCCTAATTAAAGGGCTTATATTACAGCACCTGATTACTGAACTTATTTATGTAATGTCTATACCTATTCACTTTACTTCTCTCAAAGAAAATACTGTAATATGTCAATGTCCTATAGCCGAAGCTGAGAACAAACTATTACTATGTTTCATTTTACTGACATTATATGCTGTTCAGGAACAGATTTTGAGCAAAGACATTGTAACAGCCTTCTGCTGCTGACTTTAAAAACAATTCAAGAACAGACGCAGCCCACCGCCCCACCCTCAATTAGTGACATTCAAGAGACAGTGATGGGAAAGAAGGGGAGAATTGGAGATGGGACATAACATGAAGTTTCTGGAAAGCTTCACTGGATATGCATATATTTATCTCACAGCACATTATGTCATGGTCCCATAATTGCACCATGATGGGCATCTATTTCCAGACCACTTCAGAAAAAATACTTTTCCTAGAGAGCATAAAAAAAGGGTTGTTTTTTTTTTTTTGCTTTATTTCCCCAAAAAGCTCTTTCCCAGTTATCATGCACTTTAGAAATTACAAAAAAAAAAAATTTTACAAAAAAACCCAAAACCAAAATACACATCTCTGAAAAACTCTTAAGAGTACCAGCTCTGGATCAGGACATATTAGGATTGCTCAAAGCAAATAGGTGGGGTTAAATCTTTTTTTTTTTCTTTTTTTTTTTTTTTAAATAGTTGCTTTTTTAATACAAGTTTTATTCTGTAAAATAGTTTCGAATCCTTACACATATGGCAAAGTTTGTGCAAAATTTCAAGTCAGGTACTTCAGAGTCTTTCAATATTAAACAGAATATCAATAAATACAAGTAGTATAATAAAAGTTAAAAATATTAATTAAAATGCATGTTGTGCAACCTTGACATAGGTGTTACGGACCCTTATTCCCAGAGGCTCCCTACTTACCAATTTATAAGAGCCTGTATTGGAAGGTTTTGCACAAGCATCCTTAGCACTGCATTTTAAGAATCTACCTGGTAATGTGTCTATTCAACACAATAAAAACATACCACAATCTTTTAACAAATGATGACATTTAAGAGAAGATTTGTTTCACCCTGTGAAATCTGCTTATTGTCTGTGAACAGTGAAAATGGGATAAATAAAGAACAGAGTAATTTCAGATTACAGCAAAACAAAACAACACAACCCACCCAACCCATCAGATTAAATAACATTAAATATGTCAGTCTTGAGATAATGATAAATACAAGGATTTTTGCATAGGCCTCTGGAATACAGAGTCAGAACTATGGCCAATAAAACATCTGCTAGTAAGCCTAATTTTCCACCACTCAAACCTAACGAGTACTCAGAACCAAGAAGTTAAACTGAACAGTAATTTCATTGTCTAGTAACTCAAACAGAGGTAAGAAATTTCTGCCATCCTGAAATAATACACGGTGCAGCATTCTGGTATTCGTGGTCACCACAGACTTCAGTATTTGCTCGATTACTAAGATCATTGGGCAATACAAACTTTAATACAGACCTATGATATAATAAAACACTCTCAAGAGAAGCTGCATGGCTTGTAACATGAGCCTCAGAACATAACAGGATGGAGTATGGAAACACTAAGGAAAGATGCTTTTTTTAATATTCACTCAGGATTTGCAGGCTGTGGATAAAGCAGCCTCAAAGGCAGTTAAAACATAGGAAGTAGTTTAATGTATGGCATCACTCAATGAGATGTAGGTACGTTCTCAATGTGTCTTTGGTTTAGGGAGGCGGGACTGCCGATTAGAGGGCAAACTATCCCCACCATGCAAACTGGTGTTCTGTGTTTGCACGTTTTCCTTTCTTTGTACTGGTGGCTTTGGGATGTTAGTCTTCAAACAGGTGTTCTGAGGCTCTGGAGACACCGGTGTGGATTTCTGACTGCTCATTTGCTTAGATTTAACAAAGGACATAGTTGGTGGGCGAAGTTTAGACACTTTCTGACTCTGTTTACCCTTTAGGTTATCCTGACCAGATGTTGGCTGTAGCTGAGTCAAACTACTCAATGGCGGAAGCTCACGTTCCTTGGAAGCAGTGGAATGATTTGCAGATCGTGCGAGAACAGCCATCGTAGGAGGCACTAAAGCATTTGGGGGCTTCGCGATGCTTAAAGTCTTTGGCCGAGAACCCTGGTTTGTGAATGAGGATTGACCTTTCACAGCTAATTCAGTCCGCACCTCTCTAGAATCAGCTTGTGTAGAGGTCTGAAAACAGGAACGAGATGGTAATGTCCCTTCTTTATTACTAGCCACCTCTCCAGGGTCTTCAAGATTTTTATTTTTCACATTTTCCAAATATGATGTATTCTCATCTTTTATGTTTAACTGTATGCTCATTAAAGAGTTTACATCATTCAGGCTATTTGTGAGAGAGACAGTTGCAGCATTTTGATTCTGATGATTGCTATTTTCATGCAGACCATGTTTAGGATATTCACTGTGGGCCTCGATATGTGGTGTTTTTATTAGTTTTCCCTGGGCGAGGAGGTCTGTGGAACTGGGAAGGCTGCTGGAAGGCTGTAGTACTTGAGGCTGTTGAAGAGAAAAAAAAAAAATACAGTAATGTATTAGGCAAAGAAAACACCAGATAACATTCTGAATCCAACGTGCGCTGACTGGATGCTTGATAAAGGCCATATAGCTGTCTTTTCAAAATCAAAACTTTGACAAAACAGGATGGTTCATGGGACATGTAAAACATGACTTGAAACTTAAGGAGAAAAAACTATACCAGCACTGAAATACATAACAACATAAAGACAAAAAAATAAACCAATTTGCTTAAAAAAAAAAAAAAAGAAACATGAAAAAGGCATGGTTGATGGTTTCACCTAAATCTGCAGGACAGCATAAGAATTGCAGATGAGTACCGATCAGTTCTGACTGAAGTGCTTAATAAACAAATGCACCGCCTATCAGACTGTATCCATCTTTCACTGTCTACTCACTGCATACTCAAGTTAACTATCCCAAACCTTTTATCGATGTTCTATACTGCACAGGCAGGAAAGGAGTTAAATGGACCACCTGACTTTACAGTGCATTTTTTTTGCCTTACTGAGGTCAGAAAATTTGATACAGCTATGTTGTGATTAGGCTACTGACTAGACTTAGGTAACTGTTTTATCTTGAATGGATTTCAAATGGGCTGATAAAGAAATCATCTTCAACAATGCAGTACAACAGAGTACATGTGAAGCCAGAAATCATGTACTATTACACTGATGACCAAGGGATAAAGACAACTTAATAAAGATTTTATATTTTATCAAAAGATACAATCTAAGCAGACATGTATCAGACCAGAGAATTGCCAGTACCTCTTCTGTGTGATTTCTATTCTCTTTGCTCTTCCCTGTAAGAAGACTTTAAAGATTAATGTGTGTGCTAGCTTCACAAACACATCTTAGACCTGCAACTTGTATACAGATCTTGGAAGGACTATCAAAAATTCTGCAATTCATGGCAAAACCCAAAATCTATTAAAACTTAAACTATAGTTTTAGCAAGTTTCAGGTTCAGATGATTTTATCACATTCTTTATAAAGGAGAGAAACTGAACTACTACAAGCTAGTCTTATGCCTAAACTATTTGTATTCTTACCAACTGATAGATTGCATGAACATAGTAAACAGGCTTATAATATTTGTTTACTAGTGAAACACAGTAAAAAAGAAGCAATGCTTCTCTTTAAACATTTTGACTAAAAATGTCACTTTAGTCATTCTCTTAAATTATTCACACCTTCTAAATGAGAAAGCCAATTATTTGTCTGATCTTTTTAGCTCTTTAGCAGGAAGAATGTAATGATAGCTGTGCATGCCAAAGTCCTGTTACACTTCTAGGACGACAGCACATCTTGGAACTCTTTAAGCTTTTTATCTTTTCCCTGTCAGGATTACTACTGAAAACTGAATCCTCAAAATTCCTCATCAGGAAGAAAAAAAAATAATGGTAATGAGAGAAATATCAAGGTTCCTCAATCTAATTTTGATTTAGTAGCAGTTTTTCCCTTTAGAATATACTGATTCTACCTGTAAGCAAAGGCAACATCTAAGCTTGACCAGCGACATCAGCAAGTGATAGACAGGTAAGTGCAGGTGTGTTGAGCAGTCTGAACATGATTGTTTTGCAAAGAGGGAGGAATAGAAGGAAAAAAAAAAAAAGAAAAAAGCCTTCAAAATTATGTCAAATTAGTATCAAAACGTTACTCCTTACATGACCAAAACTAGCTTAACTTTGTTAATCTTTTTAACCAAGCAATCCCACAGGAAGGAAGTACTGAACACAGTTAATAATTAAATATATTAAGAGAACTGTAGCTTAAAAAAAAATGAATCCTCTAGATATTTTTGTCATTTTTCAGTTTTTATGTATGGGTTACAGAAGTCATTATCCTTCCAGCTTAGGAGCTAACAGACAGATGTTGGTCAAAATGATGTATTGATTTGAGACCTCACCTGCAAAAACAAAACTGCTGAAAATGAGTGCGGAAACCAAAGGAATATATACTTGATTCCCATACAAACACTTCAACAAATAATTCAAGTTTTCTAATCCTACTTGAAGTCAAAAACTAGTACATTTATAGCAAACAATATTGTGTCAAATTCTGATATGTAAAAGTGTCAGAAAACTTTTTCCCCTCCCCTACAAAGGATTTCTAAATGCCAGTATTCAAAAATGCAGATAAATATCTAATCTAAGCATTACAAATCCTAACTTTCTATCAAATAATCCTCGTTACGCTAAACAGCAAAATGAAAAAAATTTGTAAGTTACAGAAGAAACTAAATTTGTATGGGAAGTTGAGCTAAGTACAGCAAAGCAGCACGCTTTCAATAACGCTAGTTTGAGTTCTTTGGACAAAAGTGAGGTAATATTTGAGCTTTTTCATTTGGACAATTTTGCATTTTTACATACAAAAATAGACAAATACATATTTTCCTCATTATCCTTCATAACCTAAAAAGGTCTAAGCAGCTTAATATCCAGAAAGTTAGTAATTCAAAGATAGAAAACAGCTACATGCTCAGAATTATGAGGACACTAAAGCTATGGTATCATATTTGCTAAGTTGTTTTAAGTACTGTACTGTTTTCTAAGTCTATGTTTCTACTTAGTCAAAGTCTGTCCAATTATCACGATTACAGATTTTAATCTCTTCAAATTGCTACATGCATTAACATTCCAATGACATTGAAAGCAGAAAAACACCACTTCCACAATAAGCAAGTAACAGTTTGCAAGGTGTCTAACACTGAAAATTACATTATCTTCATCCATAGCTCACATCTTTGCCTTATACATAAGTTTTCCTCTTACTAGGGAAGTCTTAATAAAATACGACCATGTTATTAGTCAAAAAAACCCAAACTATCCAGCAGAAGGGCTAGTACTTGATGAATTCCATCACAAGGAGGAAGGGGAATAGGAAGATAAAGAAGCATTCCACGTCCTAGGCACAGTATTTTATTTCATGGAAGTCTTAAATAGTTTGTCATCTGCATTGCTTTGAGTGCACTTTTGATAATATTTCAGGGTGCAACAGACCATGTCTTGGTATAGGCTGTCGTGCTAACCAGACTTTTATTTTTGTCCCATAAAGAAAATATTCAGGTGGACAAACACACCTGCATTCTTTTGGGAACGTTACTGAATGAAATTAGTTCTCCCCAAATTGAAAGTACATTAGACAAAATGGTTTAGGCACATGCTTCTTTTTGACAACAAAGAAACAAACTTTTCTGTACCAGCAAGAGCTTCAAAGACTTGCATGTATTGATGCACCAATCAAAATTACTAGATTACGGTCCCTACCACATTAGCTTAAAAGATTTTTCTCTTACTTCTTTCAAGCAAAACTAGCTGTTTCATCATCCAGAGAAAAGTGACAACACATGCACGAAGAGGACTGCCATTACTACACAGTTATTGAACCACTAGGATTGCATGAGCTTTGTGTTGGAAAACTGAGACAAGTATGTTATACTGAAAGAAGTTAAATCAATGTGGTCATGACAGCAGTATTCATCGCAATATCACTGCTTCAAAATTCCCTTCAGTTTTGCTTTGGTTATTCTGTATCTCTTATCTCAGAACCCATCTTGATTCCCTATGTAATACCTCTGTAGCATGAAATAAAGGCATTTTCTCCCTGCAGTATTTTGAGGAACAAGGGCAGTGAAGTGATGAGAAATCTGAGAACAGCATGCACATCTCCAATAAACATGCATCATGCATAGGGCAAAAAAAAAAAAAAAAACCAACAGTGAAAATGCATGAGGAGGAGATGGGAAGAAATCTGAAGTTGTACTGTACCACGCTTTATCACAGAAGTAATGGACTAACTTCTCAACTCCTGGCCAATGGCATAATGGGAAAGCAGAGACAAGAAAAAGACAAGGACAATGATGTCAGAGGACCAAGACAAAACAATGAGCAATTGCCATGACAGAACCGCAATTTTTCACCATTTAAATTGCAATTACCATATCCCCCATCGGTTTTCAATCCACCTTCCAGAAACAAAGGTAGCAACAGTGTTTAAGTAATGCAGTACAAATAATATTTATACCAAGACCTGCAAGGAATACCTTTTCTTTCATAACTTGAAGTCTTTTAACATGGTTAATCTCTTACACTTCAAATACTGTTTAGAGCTGTAACTAGAAATTGTGTGTATGATTACAAATGTATACATCAAAAATATTTGCACCCATGCACATTCATGTTAGACACCTAACAGTGAATAACAATGCCATAAGATACAGTGCATTACATATTTTGATCATGTTTGCCATACTGTTTAATAACCCATTTTCCTAGCAACTTGCTCAGGAGCTTGAAGAGATTCCGAACTACTGTGGTTTCTTTCTGGAGGGGGGGGGCGAGGGGGAAGGGACATAAACCCTGCTACCTAGGTTTTTCATTTTCTGATCAGTTCTGACACCCCTTATCATCTCACTGCCTTGGCACAGGATAAGCTGTCCTTTCAGACGCCTTCATTTGAAGACAGCCTTGCTGAAAGGCTATGCTGGAAAGCTCTCATTTTCTACCTCTGGAAAACATCAACATTTCATACCTTAAATCTGTAGCATTTGCCAATACCTTCGTTTTGGACTTCCCCCCCCTCCCGCCTCCCTTTTAGCTAGCTATATTATACCCATATTTCAACATTGTACAATAGGATTCCATAGTATGGAGTATGACTTCGAATAATGATACAAAGCAACCCTGATTTTTTTTTTTTTTTTGAACTACAATTCACCACAGCATGAGGGTAGTAAAATAATTGGTAATATGGCTTAGTATGATTTTTCATCTGTATAGAAATCCCTAGCTTAAAGAAAAATACTGTCTGTCTTGAAGAAAAATTACTGAAAGTAATATATAATCACATCAAGGCAGGCATTTCATCCATAAATGCAGATATATGTGCAACAAACAGACAAATACGACCACATGCAACATTAAGTTTTGTTTGCAAATATATACTTAAGTTAGGTATAAGAGACATTTCTCTTGCGTTCAATCTGCAACTACCCAACTTGGGAGAAGGGAGTTTTTCTTAAAAGACGCTTCTTCATATAGCTGAACACTTATTTATCAGAGAAAAAATAATTACTTATGAAGGACAGTAATGTAATGACTCCAGGACATTATTAATAATTTGTCACCCTCTTAACATGAGTCACAGAACTTCCAAGAAAATATTCTGAAGCAACTTGTTCTGCTAACACCAACATTTTGTACATCCTACAAAGAATCTGAATCAGTCAATAAAGGTTTGAAAACTTTTCATAGTGTTAACCAACATACCTTTGTTTAAAAAAAAAAAAAAAAAAAAAAACACCAAACAAAAACCCACACATGAAAATGCAAAGCCTGGACCTGATTTATAGTCAATGTGCATACAGCAGCTTTCCTGCTGGTGATAAAAAGCTATGTGTCAGCTGCTAGAATTGCTTACGTTATCTTTATTTGTAATGGCTACATAATAAAAAGTCTAAATACTTTTTCCATGAAGTGCACAGTAAGCGGAGATGTGAACAACTACAATTCTTGAGTAACAAAACAGTTTTCACCAGTGTTTGTGTGTGGAGAACACTTGGGGCTAGGGGCCTGGAGAAAGCAGTATAATATTCTTTTATTACAACAAGACTTCATAATTGGTTCATTGACAATGTGTATTCTAAATGCTGTGTTTCTACAGCTGCATCATTAAAGCTTCATAATACAAATGTAAAAGATTTAAATTGTACTGAAGAAAGTTTGCTATGTCATCAAATTGCATCCTATAACCAACAGAAAAATAAAGGACCATTACGTAAGAGTGGAGTTCACATATGTGAGTTATAGGAATAAAAAAATCATTATTTTGTTCATAAAATGACAAAAATCAATGTAGTATTATGAAAGTCTTTATGAAATACAAAATGCTGGCTTATTTCTAACGCTGTTGAAACAACATGAAGTTAATAAATGTTAAAGTATTAAAACATAATTCTCATTAAAAGTGCAAAACACACATCCAATTCTAAAGTGTGTTAACAAAGTGCAGTGATCCAGTAAGTTCCCAGAGCAAGTTAAGCAGCAGGTATGCTAACACTGTAATTGGTGCTAACAGAGAAGAACTGTGAGAGTATGACAGTATTGTAATACTATGTAGCAGGGACATATTGCCTGTCCTGTACGGCAGCAGTAAAATTATATTACAGTATATAAACAACTAAATATAAACATTTACAGATTTATACCCTCATAATCTACAGTGCTTGTAAGTGATCTACGTATCCATCAGCTATCAACAACATAGTGAAGAAACCTGCAGTATTCACGAGCGTAGATGATATTTTAGTTTGGGGATCCACAAGTTAGAGAAGAAATGCTTCAATTCCAACATCTCCAGACAGAAAACACAGCCAGACAAGAACTGAGAGTACTTCATGTTCGCATCACCTTCTCCATATTATTGCAAAAGAACACTAATATTAACATTAAGGCTGTTTTCCTGTTCTCAGTGGTGATACCCAGCTCACCACTTGCCTTGAAACTCCACATCTGGCATTCAACACTACCTCAAAAACCAGCAGACCAAAACCAACTGAACCAAGGGAAGATGTAATGTGGGGAAAGAAGAATGCTAGTGATAATTCCAGTATGTTCTACTTCATGGGACTCTTCACACAGTGACAAATCATTAATTTTTCAAGAGGGTCAGTAAAAATGTCCAAGAAACCTAATTTATGCTCAGTGTTTATCTTTTGATCAAACTTAAGACTTAAAGAAAAAGGCTAAGAACACTCAGAGGAAACATTTCTTTTCCTAAGCAATAGGTTAATTGTAGCTTAGGTTGATTAGTCAAGAGACAGTTCTTATCTACTTCATTTCCTTTACTAGTAATTCATAGAATTTAATGTATAAGACTTAGTCTAAAAAATCCAAACTGCTTTAGTAATGGAAGTTTGCTTTGGAATCCCTGAATAAGAAGCTGCTGCCATTAGTGGAGGAATGAGGTGGGGGCTCAGAGAACTGATAAGAGATTAGCAAAGTTGTCTTCTTCAGTTAAGCAATGTGAATGACGTGATACCAGAGGCATACATCTGGCAGCTTAGACCTCATCCTCCCATTCTGACTCTGATCGGTAAGCCCCAAAAACGTGACATTTATATGCTCCTCAGGTCTAAACCCGATCTTTTTAAACTCAGACTCTGCTGACAGGACAGCAAAATAGCCAGGCTGTGCTACTGCTGGCCCTCTACCCAGAAGCAGAAGACATGATGATCAGTGTGTAGGGGTTTTACATTCATTACACACACACACAGACCCCCACATCAAACATCACAGAAAATGAAGCACGTCCCTCCACTGCATAAAGAAAAGCCTATGAAACAGGCTGTGCATTCCCGATGAGTTGTTTAAATGAACATTGTCACAGAAACATCAAGAGAGTATTTGAAACACAATTTACAAAATATTTTATAAGACTCTTTCTTGTAATTCAAGTAAGTTCGGATTATTGCAATCTGAAATATATGTAAGCTTAGTTTTCCAATGTGCAGTTTACTCTTTGGATCTCCTTGGCCCTGGAAATTTTACTTTATTTCCATAATTTTACTTCTTCCTTTATTTCTTGTCCAAATACACTCTTGGGCTTTGCTAGGCAGTCAAACACACTGTAATTCTCAAATTACAGTACATTTAAAAAAAATATAACTTTAGCTTTATGAATTAGTTCTATTTCTTTGAACAATTATCTGTTTATAACGCAATACCAAAGCAGAAAATAAGACTTACCATTTCTCTGTCTATGTAAGCATACAGTTTTAAAATCAGCAATTGTCTTTTGTTTTGCAGATCCAAGCCAAGAGAACAAATGCATCTTACATCAGCCCACATTGTAGCTAGCACATAAGGAATGTTAATAAACCATGCAAGTTTTGCAACAGCCACTTCAGTGTATTAGAATGTAAAAATACAACAAATACCAAGAAGGAAAAAAAATTAGTTTCGGGGAAGCCATTCTGAAAAGTTAAGAAAACTTCTCGTGAGAGGCAACAAAAACTTTCTCACCAACATTTTTATGTACACCCACAATGTGTTTATGTAAATACAACCACATATGCACACGTGCAGACTTACAAGCAAACTGAACACGTATACAAACAAGATAGTATTACAGCCATGAAAAAGAAAGGGAAAATGCAGCAAGCAAGATTTATGTTAAGACAAGACTGGAAACAAGGGCCTACATGGGTTTGCTTGAAGAACTGCTGAAGTAAATCAGCGTTTAATAACTGTTACAAAGCTGTAAGTTGTAGCTGCTTATATACTGGCCAAAGGAAGCATTTTGGTTAGCCACAGGCTATTGTGTATGCCTGCAGATCTGCCTGAGAAAGGAGGGTACTACGAGATGAACAGTGCGTGCAAAGGGGAAGCTTCTACTGGAACACGGTGAGGGAGATGAGTGAGAGGTACAGACTCACTCTGTCTGCGGTGCGGTGGAACAGTCCGAGGGATGCCCTGGAATGAGCCCTGCCAGGGAGAGAAGGAGGGAGCAGAATACCCACCCTGTGCAGAAAGAGAGAGGGGGAGAAGTATAATAAAAAAAAGAGAACAGGGAAAAACAAGACACCAAAAAGGCACACCATTCTTTTTTCCTTTTTTTCCCCAGAAAGATATTATTATATATCCCAGTTGTTCTACTTCGTACAAGCAAACACTACATCCTGCTAAAGCCCTGAAGAAAAATGACATAATTATGTGCTGAACTAGTCAGAAATCTTACATTCTTATTAAATATATTTGCACACATTTCTGTTAAAGATGTTTTTAAGGGAAAAGTATAGGAGCTCAGCTTTTCACGTTAAAAAAAAAACCATGCTAAAAATCGTATTTTTATATGTTTCAAAAATGTTTTTAAACTGCCTCACCAAGCAGTAAGTTGCTGAATACTAATCTATCAGAAAAGCAATCAGCTTTTGTTTACAACAAAAGATTTCTAATGCATAGGAACAGATTTCCTAGCAAATCCTGGTGCTTTAGAGTCCACTTCACTCATATTTTGATAGCATTATTGAATGTGAAAAAGGAGAGATGACATAACTGTTTTCCTTGCACTTGGCTCTTGGAGCTTGAGTCTTCCATTACAGGATCAGAGTACTGCGCAGATCAATGCCATGCAAGGTTTGCCTGTCACATGTTTCAGATCACCACAAAAGTGACACGTGGTTGCTGCATTCTCAAAACAAGTAAAAGTAATTCTATGCAGTCTATCGTTTGCTCCATACCCTTACCTTTAAAAGAAATCTATCCAAGCTGGAACTGCCCTCTTAAATCACATAACCTTGATTTCCTATTTCAGCACCACAGAATTAAGTCTTTACGACCCCTTCACTGTTTAGCAGCTGAAAACTACTCCTTTTATGAGTTTTGGAATATTGGTGCTAACAGTAACAACGGCCATTGCCTCCTGTCTACCAGTAACCAGCAGATATCAACAGCAACCAGTTGTAGCTACTCTTTCAGAAAGCAGGCGTAAGGTATCTGACCAAACATTTGTATCGAAGAAAACAGGAACACAGTTTGCTCCTCCTCTCCAGTTTCTCTGCTGGCACATCTGCTGCCAATCATACTGCCAGGGCTGGACAAACAATAAAGTACTTTATTTCCATGCTGCTTTTAAAAGAACATTAAGCATCACATTATTTCTATAAAGAAATACTCTGCTTTTATTTACCCTAGGAGAATTTTTAACACTTCCCTGACCTTCCAGTTATCTTAATCTAGACTTGACCCATCACTATTCCAAATTTCAGAACTGCTAAGATGTAACCTAACATGTGCATTTCATCAAGTCTTAGAATTTGCTAGCCAGAACGCTATTAAACTAGAACAGGGAATAAAGAAAAAATTCTGACAAGACTTCTTTGTTCTTCCTCAGAAGCTGAGATAAAACAACTAATGGAGCAAAACCCAAGGAAAAAATGAAACAAGTTCTTTACTCTGATTATCTCTAGATGGAGATATTGACTCCCTAACACGTTCTTAAAGTCCTCTATCAGTAGCCACTAATGTCAACACAATTTTTAGACTGCTGCATGGAAGAACAACAGTACTAGCTTCAGTCAAGCGGTATGAGAAAATAATATGTTGCATCAGCTGAGTAGATACTAAATACAGAAATATTCCTGGAAACAACATGAATCAATTAATGATTGATTGATGAGACATCAACAAAAGCTTTGGATTTTCACAGCACCATACAAAAGAACACTTCATTTTTCAGACTTGTTCGCATTTCATCCTACATTGCAACAGGGTGGTGGAACAACAACAACAAAGAATTCTTTCCATTCTCTAAAGGTAACTGAATCTCCAGACAGTAAAAGCACGCAGTATTATCAGGCATAGGTCTCATCTTGTAGAGACTTATTTGAGTTGGCAATGGGCTTTTTCCAGACATCAAAATTTTAAGCGCATTAAGAAGGGAGGTGAAAATTTTATATTCTCCCCCTTCCTCACTCCAAAAAGAGAGATTAAGACAAGCACAAGCCAACTGAGCTACATAACATGATATTATTGCAAAAGCAAAGAAATATTGAGATGCTTGATACATTTTTTTAAGCATCCATATTAGCACTTCAAAACACAGCACTAAGTTCAGTCTTCTCAATACCTCTTCATGGTATTTAATCACTACTCTGAGTGGAGAAGTAAACAAAGAAAGTGCAAGCAACTTCCTTCAGTGTTTTGCCTGATAAACTGAACTGCTCTCCAGGCATATGGTTCCATCCCCTTCTCCCAAATGCTGGAGAACATTCTATAATCTCAGAAGCAGAAGAACTAGCTCTTCCTCTGGCAGCAGTCTTGAGAATTTACACTGCTGCATATAGGCAAACGTAAAATAAATGCCAGATTTCTTATTTATAAAAAAATCCTAACAAGCATTGTTTAATTGTACATCAAATAAGGTAATCAAAATCAACATCAATTGAACCAAGTAAGGACCAGGAAATACAGCACTGAGAATTTATTAAGATGGGTGTTATGGCTTATACTGATTTTACAAATGATAAAGGCTGTACTGATTCCATAGGTATAGCAAATTAAGAGATAAGTATCTGCAAATACACCTGGCTTACGAAAAGATTACTTATATTTTAATAGTATTTTACAGAACTCCAATGAATTTACAAAGCTTTCTGCTTTAAACAACAACTCACATCCATCCCCTCCTACTAGTGAAATGTGTGCTGAGGTTCCCATGAAATCCAAAGAACAGGAAAAAAAGAAACACAGACTAATAAGCACAACTCCTCAGATTATGGTACATATTAAAAATACACAGAAAATGTGGTCGTTTCCTACTAAATATAGGGAAGAAGAAAAACCTGAATCACAATTTATTTATGCTTGATTATTAAAGTCTATAAAACTCATAAGCAAACAATGCTAGAATTGAAAGATGAGAACATGACTTACCTCAGGTTCTATAAAAAAAATCCAAAACATTTGATGGCATTCTTCTGGGTTCTGAAGCCTAGTCTGATGCAAGTCTGTCCACTTGCACTTTAATGTTAGACAGCAGTCAGAACACTTCCTCCCCTCAGCTGTTATATGCAAGCAGCCACTAAAACTTAAATCCCATTCCTCTCATTTCCCAGATACTGGAATTGTGAAATAGCAAAAGCATCCCAAAAGAGAAACGATTCAGAATTTTAAACACCAGGCAAAACAGGAGACTCAGGAGTGGAAAAATAAGAGCAGCTGAAATACAGCAGCCTACAAACCAGAGAAAATAATGAATGTTCTTCAGAGATCCTGATGAATAGTACAACTGCTGCTAAAAGCTTTATGAAGTTCTGACCCTAACTGCACTGGAAAACCTGTTTGTTTGTTTTTTAAGAAAGGCTACTATGAAAAAATTAAGGACAGAGTTTTCCATTGCTGTGAACAGAGCTCAACCTCAGCATAAGCGATCACATGAACGAAAGCAATTGCTTCTGCCAGAAAAGGACAAAAGAAATATTTCTAAGCTATTGCTAAACAGTATTTTTAGGCCAACAGCCAAATATTCTGGCTCTTTTCCCAAGGATACACCAATATTCAAAACTACTACTGCTTTAAAAAGTTTTCTGTTGCAGAAACACAGATACAAGAAACACCCATTTTTATCCATACAGCTGGAGCTTTTGAGCACTTCCAAGAAGAGATGATTTTTGCTGCGTCTCACTTCGCACTGTCAGTTGTCTCATATAAACTCAGAGCTCCACATCATGAACAAACCTAGAATGACATACTTCAGGTATCAATGCAAACAAAATGGTTTTGCAGCAGTCTCCTCTTGCTAGCCTAGCACTCAGAAAGAGATTATGAATGAGTAGTTCTGACATGCAATAGACTTTTTGAAACTAGGTCAAAAAAGTCAACAAAAAACCTCCGATCTTATATGCCTATTTATTAAACCAACAAGATCTGCCTGTGAAAAGTTTAAAGGACCTCTCTTCTGTATATGCACCTCCATGTTATGCACTGTCACTGTAACAGTGTAAGACACAGATGGACAACACTATCTAGTCCAGCTATGGTTCTGTCTCACCAAGAATGTACATTATAACGGATCAGCAAGCAAACAGCAGAGTACTGGAGAATGAGACCTAGGCTGAATGTGAAGATAAACACCAATACAGTGCCTAGGCTTCAAAACCTGGAATTTAAATTCATTGTTGCAGAGTCAAAGCATATAGGAAGTTTAAGGCTAAGGCGGAAGGAGATACTAAAAAAACAAAAGACAACAGTACACAAACACAGCTGAAGTATTACAAAGGTTCATCAAGACAATTGGTGTGAAAGGCTTTGGAATGACAAACTGGAACAATACTCAAATGGAATATCTCGGTGCAAAAAGAGAGATGTAGCAAAGAACATGAACATGCATGCTCCCATGCAAACAGAAAGTTTTTGTTGTTATTTTACCAGAGACAAGAATTAACTTGTATATGCATTTAGAAAGCAAAGCTTATTCTCATCACTGTGTACTGCTCTGATACCAAGGAGAAAAATCAGCTTTTACTGTACACTGTCTATTGTTGCAGGGTACAGGAGATCACCCATGATATAGGAAGAGCTGTGTTATGCTAGGGAACTGGGTCTCAGGGGTCAGAATCTTCTACGGACATCTTCAACCAAATTTAGGGCTTTGTAGTTTGCTTGCTTGTCTTTTAGTTCTCAGCATCTGCAAACAACCTTTCCACTTTGAGAAGCCAAGTAATTCGTCAACATAAACTTGACACCTAACACCTTTACCCTCAAAATCTTAAAAAATAATATCAATATTTAGTATTACACAAAGCATGCTGCAATGCCTGTAAGACAATTGTGGCAATGGAGGCTCACATTTTTCTTCTTTGTCACCTTCGTCCATCAACATTAATTTTTTCAGGTAATTTTATGTTCAATACCTTCTTCCAGGTTTTGGGTTTTTCCTTCAATGATAGTTAAATTATATACTTAAAGTAACTGGAAGTGAATTCTGTATAAGAGATCTATCTATAAATCATCCTTCCAGAAACGTCATCGTCTACCCTGTCAGGGGATCCTTGTACAAGCCTTTATCCTGAGGATGGCTAACCAAAAATAATGTTTCCCTCATGGACAGTCAGAAATCACGTAAGCTTTGAGCATGCTGTCAGGACACTACTTATAAGAAATACCATGTAACAGATGCAGTAGCTAGGCAATAGAGAGCTGCCTATTAATTCTCAATATGCCCAATTTCCAAAACATTTATTTTCAGCCACTAGCTTTTTATTACACAAGTACTACATTCCAAGGATTAACCTAAAGCTATGTATCTTCCAGTTATGTACATATTTACCTTTAAATATGAAGAAAACCTAAACGTACTTTCAAAAACTGTGGTGCCTCAAGAGAATAACCCCAAACAAGTTTATAATCACCTCAGGATGGGCCATTTTCTAGAAATATCTGGTAATAATGAAACTAACAATTAAGAACAAGACTTTTTAAAAAGCATACTTAATGATAATTCACTTGTCTATTTACTGGGAGAACAACGAAGTGATTAGAAATATTAGCTATTTCAAATGGAAAGCAGAACTGCAATATATTGCTGCAATTCACATGGTCTTAAATTCCCAAGTGAAAACTTTTAACAGCTGATTTCCACTCTTACTGTTTCCTACTTTATTCTAGCATCTGTTCTTTATGAAACACTACATTAATAGTGTTAAGCAGGTTTATGAAAGCTTTAAAAATATTTCTTGACATTTCTTGAAATGGAAGTAAATTACTGTGTGTTCCTAGACTGGTGTTTAAGCTTCAGGAATGAAAACACAGTCAGTTCTGCTAGAATTTGTAAACTGTCACAATAATCTTGAAAGTTATAAACAAACTAAAGTAACTTCCTGATATTCACCATCATTTACAGTGACTGCCAGGTCAACACTTACAGGAAAAAATGAAATAGTTGAATATTCATCAGCTTTGATTAACTATTATAGAGCTTAAAGGAGCAAAAAGCTTATATGCCTCAAAAGGAGCCATTTGCTCATTGCCAAGACTTCAATTATAACTTGATTTTAAAAAATGTAGTCTATACAAAAACTTCATCATTTCATAAACATTGACTACATTTCACAATTCATGCCATATTTAGGACCAATAAACTTTATTTCTTTCAGCCTGCATTCTCAGTTCCATTATATTAAACCGAACAAGAACGTTAGTGAAGTGAAGCAATTATTTTCTAAGACTTTTTTTTTTTAGTGAGAATACATTTTACTTGGTTTTCTCCTACTGTTTTCATTTATCATACTCCTCCCTCAAGAAAATAGAGCCAATTATCTCTCCTTTGTATTGCAAGCAGCGTTTTACATCACTGTGTTCCAGATCAACAGCGATTCCATGCCAAGGTTTCTTCTATATTTATACTTCTATTAAGCCATGCAAGGAAGCATGTTAGCAGAGGAACTATTAAACCAGAAAATTGAGGTCTCAACATTAGAACTGAAACTTGGCTACAACAGCAGGCCTCTAGGAAATCCCACATTATGGAGTCCTTATCAATTTTTGATTGCTTACAAGAAGCCAATAACTTACAAATATGCAAACAAGACGACATAAAAAAACCAATCCAAAACCCCAGAAATTCTGCCCAAAACTTTTCAGCTGTCAATTACAAATAAAAGCTTCTGAAGAGCAGTATATTTTGAAAATTTGTCAATACTTCATGAATTTTCTCAATTCCTTTATTAATTTTCGTAAGAAGCTTGACATGGAGATAAAAATACTGAGACATTTATAATGTGCATCTAATGACCATATGCCTACACACATATGCTTAAACACATGTATACATATATCCGTACACATACACACATCCAACCATGAATACAGCAGCGGGTTTGTTTTTAAAAAATAGTCTCCCTTAACCCAAAATTCCTCACAATAAAAAGTGTCTTTTTGACCAAAACTACTGCAGAACTTAAAACAAACACACTGAACAACTTGACCAAAACAGACAATTGAGCTAAATGACTCCTTTTACCCGAGATGTCAACTCATATTCCCCATCTTCTCCAAGATCTTTCTCTTATCAATTAATACCACAGGTTGGTCAAATAAAAGCTTCTGTAGTTAGCAGCTAACTTTCAATGGTTACTAATCTGTTTCTGAAATTATATGGAAAGTCAGACAGGAAAAAAACGAGATGGAAACAACAATAGCTGCTAACGTAGCAAAAGTATCAGTGCAGATAAATGTCAAATGAACATCACATACGAAATTAAAACTTGGAACAAAAAAACAAGACAAGAGCCCAAAAGCTCCAAAGTAACAGAAAAAGAGAAACAAATGGGATAAACAAAGACATCACACATACATTCTGGAACAGAGGTGTCAGAGCAAACTAAAAGCTATTTAAAGTTATGTTCTTTATATATTGGGTTCTTATCAGACAGAAGACGGTTGGCAAAGTACAGTCTCAATAGGACAAAGCTGTTTGCTAGCAACTGGTGAACAAACAGCATGGTGGTATTTCTATCGTAGCACTACGTATTTAAAAGAGTAATTTTAGAAGGATAGCAGGGGTGATTTATCTTTAGTACAACCTTACACGAAGTAACTCGATGCAGGGTAAAAACAAAAAAAAACCCCAAAAGTCTAACCCATTTTTAACGTTTTAAAGGAATCTCTTAGAATTCTCTAGCTAAAGCAATAGCTTCAAGATGCAAAGCCTATTTGCTAGTGACTGACAAAAGCCTGTTTATCACTCAAAGGTAATTCCTTACTACTATATAATATCAAGTGTGTTGTCCCTCCCCATCTTATGTATTGTGTTAGTGTTCCATGAACAATGAAAATTTTATATAAAATGGAAGCAAATGTGATCCATGCAACAACATATGGGAACGAAGATGTCCTTTGTCAAAGTGATTTTCACCAAATACTTTTGAATGAGTCAAGTTCTTCAATAAATTATAACAATAAAATAAAAATAAATTATTTTGTGGGTTGTTTCTTTTTTTTTTATAAAAATGATTAATTTTTGGTTTTACACTGAAACTGAGAATACACTGTTGCTCTTCCTCAACAAATGTGAGAGCATCAACAATGAAAATTTAACCAGGAAAAAAATCAAATACACATATCTATGACTTTAAAGTCAGGCTGTAAGAAAATATCTTATATAGGATTAGATATACAGCTTGGACTGCCTGTAACTTAAATAGTGCAAAGGGGGATTATTTTAAGAGGAGACTTCTAAAGTTTAATTACTTAGTTTAAAATAAATGTTTGTAATAAATGTTTAAATAAAAGGGTTGCAAAAGAATGCAAGGGACGCACAGCAGGAAGGATACCACTCTCACATACAGCAAAGAATCTCTTAAACAAGGCCAACTTGTGTGATGGCAAAAGTAACAGAACTGGCGAATGAAATGCAGAAAGTCATAACCAAGAAAGAATGGCATGTTTCACTCACAGAACTCCTCCTCCAGGAGGTTTGCGTAAATTTATCAGCATACGTGCATGTTGCCCCTGTAGGTTTTTGACTGTCTTTCTGGCAGTTACATCTAGTGGCCTTAATCACCCCCAAAAAGAGAAAAAGAAAGGAGAATGTTAGAAAGTAACTAATGAAGCCTCTTGAAAAGCACAGATCAAATATCATGCATTACTTGACAGTTCAGCACAATATGACTAAACTGTAGAAACTAGTATTTACAGTGCTGCACAACTCCTTTTCCCAAACTATATTTAGAAATAATCTAGAATAAATGTTGACATTTGGAAAGTGTGTTTGATTCACTTAAATTTCTGAAGCACCAAATTCTCTAATTCACCTTTCAATAATTACAAATAGAAATTTCACCCATCTTTACTGCAGAGTTCCTTAGCTGCAATGCAGTTTTCAGTTACTACAGCAATTAGGTATACGACCTATCAGGGAAGGAAATATTTCTTTGAAGAAACCTTTGGAGGCTGATGGTAAGAGTGAGACTAAGTGTACTGAAAAATTAACAGTTATTGCGAAATACTAACAGACAAGACAATTTGTTCTGCTATGCTGCGACCTGGAATTCTGTTGTTTAAGCAGCAGAGCAAAAAGCCAAATCTAAAACAAAAATGAAAGAGTAAGAGGGAATGATCACATGTTAGACACTGAGGAGGTGAAGACCACATGTCAGTTTCAGTACACCCTTGTACAAAAGCACATGCTAAACCTTTCATTAGAGATTAGAGTCACACAAGACTGTCTCCGGCCATGATAAATAAATACAGTGTGCACCTCTTGGCATCTCATCTACCCTACTTTTAAGATCTTGCTGTGGCTTGAAATGGTGCGGCTATTTTACAAGAATTATCACAGCAGATGAGTTTACCAGAACCAAATGTAGAGATATGCATGCCAAAATCCAAAGAACAGAACGAGAGGAAAAGGCAAAAAGGCATACATTAGTTTTGCTTGAGGACTTGTATGTCCACCTGAACCTGATTTATGATGAAAGTGTCCCCATAACTTTTATTTATTTGGCCAATCTTACTATTCAACATTTTGGTTGGGTGGTTTTGTGTTGGGTTTTTTTTTTATTTGTCTCTTGTTTTGTGTCTTTTTTGGGGTTTTGGGGGTTTTGTTTTGTTTTGAAGAATCAACTTTGAATACAACCTTACTCAGCTTTAAATTCCGTGGTGGAATTCTTTATTAAGCTAATGGACAGCAGGGGAAAGGACAGGGTGAAAAAAAAAAACAACAAAAAATCTTCAAGCAGAAGAACTGGGCCAATACTTGCTAATTTTTAAAATACTTTCAAAGTTCTTATCTTTGCTAATTGTTATTGCTAAACAGCTTCTAGAATTTTATGTTCAAAGAGTTTGTTTTGAAAATGAAATATACTTAACCAATGTGTAAACATCCTTGCTTAGTGCCACTCACAAATCATGACTGGCCTACAGAATTAAAGACCCCAGGTGTACAGCTGCTAACGCACTAGAGCATATAGAATCAGACAACTAACTCAACCTTTACCGACAGGTGGGTCGAAACAGAACCCAAATCGACCTTTCCTATAATGGAAGTGTAGGAAAAAAATTAAGACCTCTAGCCCTCTTATAAAGCCTTCATAAGAACTTTCTATTGAACGCACTCTGCAGCGCACACTTGGGATTTTGTTAAACATTTAGCATTAAACTTACAAGTTGATGCTCTAATTGATTGATTGTTTCATCCTTTTTCTTCAGTTCATCTTTAAGCTGCCTTATCTCATTCAGCAGATCATCCATCTGCAATAGAACAGTTGGCAATATGAGGTTTTCTATAAGGGCTACACAATCTAAATCAACATCTCTACAGGACATACTACACAGATGTTGATGGAGGCCTGGCAGCAGGGCCTACGTCCATATAGTAGCACACATCTACTATTCCCATTTCACTGAAGATGTTATTAGTTACTGCTTTAGTACAATACCCAGACTGATTTGTTGTGCAATTTTTCAAATCATAAGCCAGCATCAATTAAAGAAGTGACAACCCCATATGTCAAGCATTTTTTTGTTAAGTTAAAAAGCAACATTTTTTCCTCTAGGAATTAGGACTAAGATTTTTAGATTTTGAGGCAGGTGACTGTAAACGAACGGGCACAACAATAATTAAGAGAAAAGGAGGCCTAAATCTTAACAATGTAGATGCCAGAGTTGCTACAGAATGTTCCTAATGGATCTACAGCTTTGGAAAACATCTTAAACCCTGAAACCAGGATTTGGACAGGCAACCTTCAAACAGGAATAAGATTGTAAGTGTTCTTCCCATTCAAGAAGTATTTCTAATTTTGTGTATCTTCAGTAAGTATTGTTCCCCTCCTGTAACTGCAGGATTAGCGATCTTGCTATGCTGATTTTACAGTAAGAGCCAAGCAACGCTACTGAACCTTATCACTGTAGAAAGCACAATAGTACAAGTCTGTAACCAGAGAAGATGATTTTTTTGGAATATTCATTGTGATTGCTTTTTCCTTTAATACCCATTCTAAAACAATAAATTCACCTTTGACTTTGTGGGGTTCGTGTTGGTTTTGAGTTACATCTGCAATACCTGCATTACCTCAGGGAAAACTTACTTTAGATTAAATATATTTTAAACTGAAGTTATCAATAAACATAATGAAACAGAGCAAGTAATTGAATAAGTAATGTATGATTTACACTTCAAGGCAAAAATTGTCTTCTCAAATTCTAGCACTTATCAAGCAGGCAGAAAATTTTTGAAAGAAGTTACTCTACAGCTGTTAATTCCCTTATGACTGCTACAAATACCAAAAGACAAAGTTATTTTAATAATTTAAACTATGCTAGCATTTTTAAGTATGGATTTTAAAAGGTCAAATAAACCCTTCTATTTTAACAAAACTGAAAACACAAAGTACAAAAACATATGCTAGGTTTGCATTTATGTAGAAGAAATAAGTACTACTTCATAGTGACACAGAAGTTTTTGGTTTGTGTTCATAAACACGAACAGGTCTGTATCTCTTATTCTGTAGATTAAATCAGTGTCATTTACCTTAACGGTTGACTCAGGTTCTTGCAGTTCTGGACTTGATGGAACTGAGACTGGGATGTCCTGGAGTGACCCATTGTCATCATTCTATTAGAGAACAAAACCAAGAGCAACAGCTTGAATGACTTGCTGAAACAACTCCCTTGCAAATTTGCTT